CGTCTTACGTAAGACGAGCGTCGAAAGTCATTAAAACGCCGCTCGCACCACGTTTCGCGAGTGGCTCCGCCATTTCTCGCGGAAGCGCTCGCGAAATTATCTAATATCCTGCATATGCAATGTCCAACGAAATCGGTGAGATCGCGGCTGGCGATCACGTCGAGCGAAACCGCGCGTTGAAAGTCCATAAGGGATTTGAGAAAGCCCGTTGCCTTGAATCTGAGTCACCGGCCATGATTTGCGTTTTGCAAAGTTTCATTGAACAGGTCTTAAAAATGGAAGACACGACGCCTGGAACTAACTGGTTACGCGTTTATAAATACCAATACGGTTAGTTGTACTATTAGTTCTTTCCTTTATCACAGAGTTAATGCCCACTAAGAAATCGTTGGGAAATAAAATAAGTAAATAAACGAATAAATGAGCCTCCTTTCCATGTGGCGGAAGGTTAAAATCAAGACCGAAGTACTCGACGAGATCGAGAACTTCTCGGCGAACGACGAACTGGACATCGAAGCTCCACGAGAAATTGAAACAAGCGACAGAGTGAAGAAATCTCGGGATCTTAGCTATCTATGCGAGAGAAACAGAGAGGAGAGAAGAAGGAACTTGCCCTCGATTAAGAAGGAAATTACGCCGGACGAGTACGTCGATTTCGAAGAATACGTAGAAGCATTGACGACAGGAAGGAAGTACATATGCAGCATTTGTAGGATAGAGTTCCCCGACGAGGCACAGTTCAATATGCACATGATAAGCCACAGCCATGGGAAACTGTTCCAGTGTGGACTTTGCGCGAAGCAGTTCTCATGGTAACATATGATCGATTCTATTTTTCGAAAATTTCTTGGTAGTGGAATATATTATGTGATTCATAGACTGCGGATTTTTGGAGAGATTTAAAGGTGCTGAAAATATAGAAAGTATCCAAGATGCCTGTCATTTAATATATTTAACTGACGAGACAAACTTTTATCTAAGTTTTATTGTTTTTAACTATTTCCTCGAAAACCCGCAGTGTCTAATTTATTTAATATTTTATTCTTTAGAAACTTATTGTAGCTATGAAAGTTTATACTGTTTATGTAACAGTTATTATTGCGTAGGTTTTTTTTTTACGATCCTAGCGATAAATTTATTCACGTATTTTAAATAACATGTACAGAGTTTTATATCTAGCTCCAAAACGATAGAAGATAAAAAAAAAAAAGATAACGTACAACTTTTGCAATTGTAATTTCTCTTAACCGAATTATAAACATTTTCTTGCAAAAGAAGTACTGAGATACTTCGAGAGATCGAAGACTGATCGATTTGAAAAAGCTAAATCGAATAATACACATTGGAACAAACGCAGCAGGGAAGCGAACGAATCACTTCAACTTTTCCAAATCAAATTCTAAAATTCAATGCCCGATGAAAATTTCTCATTAACGATTCAGGTCCTCGGCCCTGAAGGATCACCTGAAATTACACGAGATGTTGGAAACGTTTGTGTGCCAGCACTGCAACCTTCGATTTCAGGTACGTACGCTCTGTTCTCTTCCCACCATAAAAACGCCCGTGGAACAAGATCGACACCAGCAAAACGTGATCAATTACCGCGGGGACTCGATTCGAATTCCAGCAGAGGGACCAGCTGAAGAGGCATCAGGCCGCGGTTCACTCGAACCGCAGGTCGTTCGAATGCGCCGTCTGCAAGAAGAAGCTACTTCATCGGCAGTCGTTGCGCGATCACAAGCTGATGCACACCAACGTGAAGCCGTTCGAGTGCTCGATCTGCAAGAAGAGGTTCCTACGGCCGAGTAGCCTGAGAGCTCACATGATCGTTCACACCGCCGATTCGCCGTTCCAGTGTGACCTTTGTCCCGCCAAGTTTAAGAGGTCCTCCGTGTTAAAGACGCACAAGCTGACGCACACCGGTGTCAGAAGGTTCGAGTGCGACATCTGCAAGCACCGGTTCCATCTCAAGGGCGCTTTGAAGCACCACATTTTGTCGCACTACGGTGAGAGTTTCGTAGAATAAATTTGATCGATTTTTGGGTAGGTTCGGCAGGTTTCGCAATTTTACTGTTGATGATGTAAAATTTTTATTTCCAGCTTATCACTTTGGTGATTGTAGAGTTGGTAACTAGTTTTAGTAATTAATCTTGGTTATATTGGAAATAATAGTTACAATTTATTTATAGAATTTTGGATATATTATTGGATTATTTTGGATACATTATAGAATTATTTGGATATATTATAGGAAAATTCTTCTTCTTCTAATTTCTTTTTTATGTTGTATTAATATCTATATATCGCGAAAGGACGTTCATGTTATATATTACGTGCGATATAGAAAACATTTTGAAATTTCACATTAACCCTGCAACGAAATACGACTGTAATAATTATCATGACAAAACTTGAAGCCAATCAGGAAATAAATGTAAATCAGTTTCACTACAGTGTTGAAGAAATGTCAAAATGTTTCATACAGCACACATAGTATATTCCAAGAATATAGAAATATTCAAATATGTTGTTTTGTCTTTACCTGAACACCATTTCGATCATTCAAACTCTGATTATAATCTTCACTTTACAACTCTGATAATAATCTTCGCTCTGATGCGTAATACGTGATTATTTTTAAGATTGAACGGAATTATTCGCAACATCGTTTTATACGCGCCACGTTTTTATATCGGGAAATATGCGCGAGATTCCCTTGATCTGCTCTATTGTTCTACTTGTCAGCGTTCGTAAAAAGGAACAGGAAAAGGATGAAATAAATAACAAAATTACGAGCACGTCGCGCCGATTTCTCAAATGTCTAGTTTACAACCCAAACGTTATTCGCCAGTTAAGTACGTGTCTATCGTATATCTTGAAATGCTCTTGGAACCCCTTTCTTGCGACGTGAAAGGATTAATTGGCAGGCGTGTAAGATCCATAGTCCTTGATTTTCTAATTAATACGGACCTCTCTCGGTTAATCGCTGTAAAACAGTGGCGTAAGTGGCTTATCTCGTGATTTTTATGTCTCAATACCGTGGAATTTACATGAGTGTATACGAAAAAAAAAAAAAAA